GAACTCAATGGAAAAAAAAATTGGGGACTAAACCTAAAAGTTGGGTGGGTGGTGAGGTGAGGGTAGATATGGGAGAAGGTTAGGGGAGGGGCAGATACGATCAAAATATGTTACATGAAAGTCTCAAAGATTTAGTGAAAGTGTTATTAGACATTTTTTTTCCCAGACAGGGTTTTACATGTGGCCCAGGCTGACCTCAAACATGTGACTCCCTAGCCTCAGTCTCTTAAACGTTGGTGTGACAGGAGTACACCATCATGTCCAGTTTGAGTATTAGTTTAGCACAGCAAGTACTAATGAAAATAAAAACACCCCAAAGGACAAGGTCAAGGAGCTTTGAACTGCTTTCCTCATATGCCGTCTGCCACTGGCTGGCCTATTCTCTAAGGTCGCTACCTGAGCCTATTCACTTCCAAATGGACCCTGGGCACAGCAGGCAATCTTTCCCTTTTATATATGTTATATATATAAGTGCTATATATGTCATAAGTGTTGTAAGTTTTATAAGTGTTATATGTGTTATTGTAGAATATTTGCAAGATGAAAAATAGCAGACAAAAGAGGAAAAGAAACCATTAACCAAAGGTTGTTTTTGCCGCCATTTTGGTATAATTTTTTCCTCTTATTTTTTTACGTGTGCCATTATCTTTTATATTATGCATTTATCCTGTAGTATGAAACATGATTTTTCAATGTTACTGAATGTTTTTCACAGTTACTGTTTTAATGAGTGAACACCCGTCTTAGTTGCCTTTCTTATTGCTGCATCAAAATGCCTGACAACCCAACTGGAAGAAAAACAGTTTTCTTTCAATCCAGAGTTTGAGCATGTATTCCATTCACATACACAGAAACAGATACAGACACCCCCATTTACCTCTACATTACAAATATATAGATATGAGAGAGAGAGAGAGAGAGAGAGAGAGAGAGAGAGAGAGAGAGAGAGAGAGAGAGAGATTCCATCCATTGAGCATGATGGAGAATGTGAGATGGTAGAGAGCAAGGTGGCAGGTCACATCGCAACCACACTCAGGAAGCAGACACAGATGAGTGCTAGTGCTTAGGGGGGTCCTCCCTTTATATGTTCCAGGACCCCAGGTATGGTATCCTAGCACTCATGTTCAGAGGGGAAACCACTCCTTCATTAAACATTTCTGAAAGCACCTCCATAAACACATCCAGAAATGTGTTTCCATGGTGATTTTAATTCAGGCAAGTTAATTAAAAATTAACTAATTCAATATCCAAGTGTCATACATTACCCATGAAATTTACATAGCCTAATATGGGACATTGATTTCCTAATACTATAATATTTATATTGTAAATAAAGCTGTATCCCGATGCATAAAACTATTCCACACTCCATTTTCTCAGTAAAGATTTCCAGAGGCAGGGATTCTGTGTCAAAAGATGTGTAAGAGCCAAGACTCTCTATCATTTATCTATCATGTATCAATCAATCTATCTATGTATCTATCTATCTATCATTTATCTATATATTTGTAATATAGAGGTAAATGGGGGTGTATGTATCTGTTTCTGTGTATATGAAGATATGCATGTAGATGTATATAAGTCCATGTGTATGTGTGTCTAGAGGTCAGAGATTGATATCTAGTGTCTTCAATATCTTTCCACCTTATTTTTTTTAAATTTTTGAGATTATAGTATAATTACATCATTTTTCTCCTTCCCTTTCTTTCCTCTTAACCCTCTCAAACCTATGGCTTCATTTTTCATTAATTGTTTTTACATGCATATATGTATACACTTAGGTTACTCGTATGTACATTTTCATGGCTGAGTATTTGGAACTGGGTAATCAGTTGGTGTGCTCTTCTCTGGAGAAGACTATTTCTCCCGCTCTCAGAATCTCTTAGTTGTGTATAGCTCTTTGTGTAGGGTTGAGGCCTCATGGGCTTTCCCTTGTCTGCTTCAGCATGCCTTTTGGTGTTGTTATTGTTCAGCTCACGTGTAGGCAGTCATGTTGGGGAACTTGTATGCGTGTAGCTTTTAACATTACTGGAAGACACGATCTCACAGCAAAATCCCTTCTCCTTTCTGAACCTTACAATCTTTCTGCCTCCTCTTCCTCAGTGTTCCCTGAACCTTAGGTGTGAGAGCATTTTGGAGATGTATCCCGTGGGACTTTGCATTTGATTGGTTGTGATTTTCTGGAATGGTCTCCATCTGTTACACCAAGAATTTTCCTTGATATGAGGTGAGGACTACACTTATTTTTTGAGATAGGCTCTCACAGAACCTGGAGCTTGCCGACTCAGCTAGGCTTGGTGACTGGTGACATCCAGAGATCCACCTCTCATCACCTCTTAGCACAGGGATCACAAACACATGCCACCACACCCACACGCCTCCACATCCAGCTTTTTACATGAGTCCTGGGTATCCTTAACTCAAGTCCTCATGCTGAAGCAGCAAGCACTTTACCTACTAAGCCATCTCCCCAGTCCTACCACTTGATGTTTTTAAGCAGCCTCTTCAATTCCATATTTTCCCTGTGAGATATGTATGTGTCGTCTCTAATTTATGGATGAGGAATCTCAGAAATGAAGATAAATGAACTGTTTGTATTAAGCCACACAAATAAAAGGTAAGAATAAGAAAGAAAATTCTACATGGTTTCACAGGTTGTTTAACAGTGTTCAGATTCCAGTAGTGAAACTCAAGGCGGATCTTTCTAGTCAGTGAGAGCAGACTTGTTGCTCAACTGGTTTAACCATGAAGCAAAAGAGGAAACAGCAGTTAAACCGTACATATTTCACAAAAATACACCAAGGATGGAAATAATGAGCTAGGCATGATCAAGGTTGATTTATATCTTATAAGACAACTGCACACAAACACACACAGTTGAATGTATATTGTAAGTTTAGAGAAATTATGATCCTCTGAGAATAGGAAAAATCACCAAAATGTGGGTAAATGAACAGGCAATATACAAAAATATTAAACTGAGTACAAAGGGAGATAAACTGTTTAACCTTATCATAAACCACTGAAATGCAAAGACTGTGAATAGTGAGGAGTTTTTACATATCAAGTTGGAAATACTTAAATAAAATGCTTTCATACCTGGCTGTTGAATGCATGAACTGGCACAGCCTTTAGTCAAGCCACTTTAGAGCAAGATGCTTAAACGTATTTTCCTAACCCAGTAATTGCACTTCCTATAACTTATACTGGAGTATGCTATTCAAAGATGTGAAAGAAATTGGCTGGCTGTTCATCATAATATTATTTGTAAAATTGTGAAAATAAAAGTTAACTAAACGATGGAATGTTATTAAGAATTGCAATATGCTTTAAATGGATCGTGACTGCCATAGGAAAATTACTGTGATTTAACTGAAAAGTCTCAGCAATAGTATTCTAAACATAATTAGCTATCTATCAGAAACATTAACAATGACTATCACTAAGTGAAATTATTTGACAATTTTAAACATTTTCCTCATAACTAGAGCCATGTGATTTACTAATTAAGAAACTATGAAAATAAGAGAGAGAAAAATTTTAATATAATTTCCTTTTCCTACTCATAAAATAGTGGTATTTGTGGTATTTGGTCACAAATTATACTAGGAAATGCTTGTTAGAAATTTATTCAAGGATTCTAAGGGTAATGCTCAATGATAAACCTTTAGTGCTCTTAGCTAGTCCCATCTCAAGGTGATATACATGGGTAGGAACTAGCTCTGATGATCATGAAGTAAATATTCCATTTAAGTAACTGAAATCACAAGTTGGCCCATCTTCCCACTTCCCATTCACCTATCACATCCTAGTCTGCCAGGAACCAGCAGTCCTAAAAGATAAAGGTATACTCACCCCTCCAAAGTCCATTGCTTTCTCTGAGCCTCATACTTTTCCTTGCTGTGATGTATCACATCATTTTCTTAAACCCAGCTCTTTTCATATCTGAGCATTGGAAATGTCCCTTTCTAAATGGGTTTCCCCCAACACCTGGTCTCATATAAATGACTAGCTCAAGACCTAAGGATTTAGCTTAGTGGAAGAGCACTTGCCTAGCATACAGGAGGTTCCAAGGTCCCCAGAACCGACAAATGGAACAAAATCCTATCAGACACCCTACCATGTTTCCCGACCTAGAGACCATAGCAGAGTCTCAGTGACCAGTAAAAGTAAAGTGTCTACTACAGGTCAAATTAAGCAAGACTAAGATGAGTATGAAACACAGAGAGGATTGAAGGAGCTATTACACAAGAAGCTGTGTTAGGAAAACATTTTCAGACTGTGGGACTTAATAACTGGGTCAAACATTTAAAAAGTAGAGTCAGACAAAGACTGGATAAGAAAAAAACCTTCAGATCCACGTTGTTGGTTGTTTTTTATTCTTTTGGGGGGTCTCCCATCCAGCTCCCAAATAAATCACACACGGAGGTTTATTATTACTTACAAATGCCTGGCCTTAACTTAGCTTGTTTCTTGCCAGCTTTCCTTAACTTAATTTAGCCTGTCTACCTTCTGCCTCTGGGCTTTTCCCATTCTCTTACTTCTGTAACTCTTACTCTTACTCCTTGGCTTGCTGTGTGGCTGTGTGGTTGACCCCTGGAGTCCTCTTCTCCTTCTCTGGCTCCTCCTTTCTCCTCCCAGATTTCTCCTTCTATTTATCTTCTCTGCCTGCCAGCCCCGCCTATTTCTCTCTCAAGCCTTGCCATTGGCCATTCAGCTCTTTATTAGACCATTAGGTGTTTTTAGACAGGCACGGTAACGCAGCTTCACAAAGTTAAACAAATGCAACATAATATTCCCCAACAGATCCAATGAGAGGAGGGTCCTGGGAAGAGTAAGGTTTGGGCAGCGGCAAAAGCCTAACCTTAAAGGACTAATGGGCTCTGTGTGGTGACGATCTTCCACATTTCCTTAGTACAGTTAACTCAAAAGTCTGGGATCTAAATTTTGACACTCAGAACAAGGATAAAATGGACCACCCACAGCATTCCTGCCCTCACCTGAGGAAAGACACGGTTGGACAGGACCATTGGTGTTGCGAATGCTGGAGTACATGTTTTAATGGGGCTGTCAGCTTCACAGACGATTGGGCCCAGAACCTGAGGGTCTTCTTTTCATTCTGTGCACACTTGGATGGGATGAAGATGAACACAGGGCAAAAAGGTGCACGGGCATTTTATATAAAAAGCAAGCTCACAGCGCTCCCCTGCCCCCACAATGCAATTCTACTCAGTCATTCTGAAATAATATAAATAAAACATTTTAAATACATGAAAACACGGAGTCAAATAATACAGAAAGACTGTCAGTAGAAACCTGTAAACATTTCTTTTTCAAGTGCCTTGTGAGGCCATTTGGCATTACTACACAGGGTTTTCCTAACACTTGCTGATAATTGGATTTTCCCCAATCCCCATGTCCAATTTTACTTTAATATGTGGGCTCCTGCCAACCCCACTGGCCAAAGATTATCTTTCTGTAACATTATGGAATGTGGGCAGTAACCCAGAGCCTCAAGGCCAGTGAGCTGGAACCCCAGGCTTCTTGCTAACAGGGGTGAATTATTATCACGTCTTTCCTGGTGATTAGATTATCCCTTATTGTCGTGTTTTATAGCTTTCTAGTTAGTCATCTCAATACAATTTATTCACAATAATAGTGTTTTTATTATTGCTGTTTTATAGTTCCTATAGCAGTAAAATTTATTCTCAACTCTATTATCACAATATTCAACTACTAATGGAATTCTTGCTTTTATTTGATTGTATTTTAAAGCCATAACAATAAAATTTACTCCCAAAATTATGACTGCAAGTTTTATGCTCTTTAAACCACTTGATAAAATGCCTACAAACACATGTGATTCCTTAAGCCCCATGAGAGAAAGCCTGCCAAAAAAATAAACACTGTTGGGAAGTGGATATGTGTGTCACAGGAGAATTGGTTCCTACTGTGCCGATATGTGTTCTTTGATTGATTAAATAATGGGATGAAAAAAAGACCTTACAAACACCTTATTTAAAGGACTACTAAATTCTAGTTGGCAGAAATATTTGTTAATACTCCTAATAAAAAATAATAACTATTTTTTTATTTATTATTATTTTATTTATTATTATTTTTATTACCTGCCAAACCCTACACATAGCTAACATCTTTATTCTCCAAAATTATGTGCTCTCAAAATACTGTTTGTGATTTCCCTGAACTCCACAATGCATGGCAGGTTGCCATATAGTTGGAGAAAAGTGGTTATGAAATATCACCAAAGGCCAGGGTCACTTTGAAAGCAAACAGCTTCAGTGGCTTAGGAATTGGAAGGCACGTGGCCAAGTCAGCGGGCCACTTCTGCCACAACTTAGTTGCTATTTTGACCCTGAACACAAGGACATTATAGTAAACCTCATCAGTTACTGTGCCTGGACCATGGAATCAAAGAGGTTAGAACATGGATTTGACAGTAATGTAAAGCACTAGCAAGAATCAAGCAAGAGCTATGGCAGGCTCGTGGCAGTCCAGGTGTGGTTAGGGGTTTGGATGAATGAGCTCACTTCAACGGATATGCTACTATCATCTAAAGCAGCAACTGAATCGATGAGTGGATGGACAGATGGATGCATGGAGAAATCTGTATCTCTGCTCTTGTCAGAGAGGCTTGACCCTCTCCAAACACATGTAAAGGTAAGGGTGCACCTTATTGTGAGAGACCACATTCTTCTTCCCACTGCTAAGCAAGTGCATAACTCAGATCTTCATTCAAGAGAGAAACTGTTTCTGGTCTCTGGCGATGGAAGTCTTGAGAATCTGCAACAGAACTAAGATATAACGTTACGAAGGGCTCCCATCTGTGGCTTGGCTCTGACAAGATGCTCCTAGAGGCAGCCTGCCTTGGTAGCTTCAATGGTGAGCCCTGTTCCACGCTGTGCTTGGTCATTGTTGGGGGCTCTTCATGTGGTTCACTGTCTCAGCCTGAATACTGACTCAGATTCTCAAGACTTCCATCGCCAGAGACCAGAAACAGTTTCTCTCTTGAATGAAGATCTGAGTTATGCACTTGCTTAGCAGTGGGAAGAAGAATGTGGTCTCTCACAATAAGGTGCACTCTTACCTTTACATGTGTTTGGAGAGGGTCAAGCCTCTCTGACAAGAGCAGAGATACAGATTTCTCCATGCATCCATCTGTCCATCTACTCATAACCAAAATCAACTTAGAGAGGAATGGGTTTATTTCACCTTACACTTTCCTGTCCCAGTCCATCACTAAGGGAAGTCACAGGGAGAACTCAAGACTAGAACCTGGAAGCAGAAACTGAAGATGAAGACACAGGAACTCTGCTTACTGGCTTGCTCAGCTACCTTTGTTAGATAATCTAGAACTACCTTCCCAGGGGTGGAATTGCCCCAGTGGGCTGTGCTCTCACATATTCATCATTAATCAAGAAAATACCTCCACAGACTTGCCCACAGGCCAATCTGATAGAGGCATGACTTAGGGTTTCTACTGCTGCAATGAAACACCGTGACCAAAAAGCAAGTTGGGGAGGAAAGGGTTTATTTGGCTTACACTTCCATATCGCTGTTCATCATGGAAGTTAGGACAGGAACTCAAACAGGGCAGGAACCCAGAGGCAGAAGCTGAGGCAGAGGCCACTTGCAGGGGCTGTTTTCTGGCTTGCTCAGCCTGCTTTCTTATAGAACCCAAGACCACCAGCCTAGGGATGGCACTACCCACATTGGGCTGGGCCCTCTCCACCAATCACTAATTAAGAAAATGCCCTACAGGCTTGCCTCCAGCCTGATCTTATGGAGGCTTTTTCTCAGCTGAGGCTCCTTTCTCTCTGATGACTCTAGCTGTCATCAAGTTGACAGACAACCAGCCAGCACAAGGCATTTCTCAATTGAGGTTCCTTTCCCCAGATGATTCTGACTTATTGACAAAAAACACTAGCCAGGACACTTACTATCCAATTCTCCTTTCTTCTTCCCGTTCACATCTGACACATCTGCATGGTGGATAGAAGGTTCCCTTTACCACACTCTGCTTTCTGTCTGTTCATTGTCTTTTATAATGATTTTAACCCACTTCCCACTCTAAGTCTTTTCCACGTTTAATACTATCTTGCCATCTGATTCTCCCATGATCTAATCAACACATCAACCAGATTCTAGGACAAGGGGAAAAAAATTAATGAATACAATTCACCAGGAGCCACAGAGGCCTTTGTGGACTGTGTAGGTAATTACATGCAGAAACAAAAGTGAAGTTTGGGAATCACTGAGGTTATTCTACATGGCCAAACAAGCTACAGAAAGTCATATACTAACTAGGTAGAACAGCACACTAGTTGGTTTAAGAAAAGGTAAGACAAGAAAGAAAATGTGTTCCCCAAGTCATTTTCTCACTTGCCCTATTTTTTTCCAGTTTACTATGTGGCACTGGCAAAGCCATCAACCTTTTATGAAGACAGACTTGGCTCCCTATTGGCCTTGACATATCTTCTATTCGGATCATCAGAAAGAAGGAGGTGCAGGGAAGAAGTGTGGGCTCTCCAGAGCTAACAATGGAGAGACAGGAGCTCAGGAGGAAGATGTGAGGCTGGGGAGATTCCCAGAGGAGCTTGGCTGTCTGCAGGCCCCTCGGCAACCTGCCTGGGCATGGAGTGGCAATAACGGCAAACACTTGGGAACCAGCCACTGGGTGTGTTTCCGTTGCTTTCCCAGCCGGGCAGTATTTCAGTCAGTATCAGACATCACCTACTTTTCCAACAGAACCTTCTGCTCTACCACCCAAGGTGGAGCTTGATAAAGATTATCATTCCAGGGCTCTGTTTCTGTCCATCGTTTAGCCAATTAACAGAAAGACATCCCAACTACAAATTCCCTTCCTTCCTTTTGCCTTAGGTTCATTGTCCCGTATCAGGTCTGTTGATATATTCAGCGGGGTCATTACAGATTATGACAGACAGGCATGGTCATATACGTGCACCATCCAGTATTAGAGAGGTCAGGTACAGAGCCCCAGGCTAGGAATCACGAGCCTTGGGTTCTGGTTCCACTATTTTACCAGCCATGCGATGTATGGCAAGCTTCACCTGTCTTCCTTTGTAAAGAAAAGGAAAATGATTCTTGTCTTGCTTCACACTTGTATTCGCGGAGCAAATTATAAGGAGTAATACAGGGGAAAGCCCTCCAAAGACTGGAAAACCATCAACATGCATGGTGTTATTATCCCCGACACTAATAACAATGGGCCGCAATTGGATTATGGGTCCATGCAGGGTAATTCCAACAGGAGGCCTCACAATACAGAAGAGAAAAAGCAAACTCCCACGGGCAGATTTCCTGGAACTGCTTTCTCTTTCACCACAATGGAGCTTATTTCCTAAAAAAGGGAGAATGGGTGGGGGCTCCCAAACACACACAGACACACAACACATACACAGAAAGAGTGGGGGAAGGGGGGGGAGAGGGAGAGTGGGGGGAGGGAGACAGAGAGGGAGGCGGAGATTTTAAATGCAGTGTGTATTTGGAATGAGCCAGACATTGGCTACTAAAATCAGCCATGTATGCTCTGCTTCATCTTAGCTCTGTTTAGAAAGTAACAGCGCTCCAGCATAATTGACTTTTTCTACAAAAATATCCTTAATCTGATGTAATTCATATACTCCTTTTTCTGTGAATTTACCCTATAATCGCTAAAATGATTTCTATAAAAGGAGAGAAAATGAGACTCCTACTTTATCCGATAAATTGAGAATTAATTTTATACACAGAAAAATAACTGCTGTTGAAACCATTATGGGTTCTAATAAACACACACTCAAGAAGTTCAACTCCACACCCGGAGACAACACAGATCCCACAAGCTTCGGGCTTGCTGCCTGTATTTCTGGCCGTCGGGGAGTGACCATCCTCTGCTTGTCCCTATGCCCGGCTTGCTTCAGTTTACACCCCTGAGCTCCCTTCATTTAAAAGAACCCACAGCGTTCTAAAAGGCTGGTAGCCTTGCTACGGAGCAGGCACTGACTAT